GTGTAATAAAAGTATACCATTTGTACTGTAGTTGTAAGTGTAATAAAAGTATACCATTTGTACTATGATATGTTATGTAATAAAAGTATAGCATCTGAACTATGTAGTTGTAATGTAATAAAAGTATACCATCTGTACTATGTAGTTGTAAGTGTAATAAAAGTATACCATTTGTACTATGTAGTCGTAGTGTAATAAAAGTATACCATTTGTACTGTGTAGTTGTAATGTAATAAAAGTATAACCATTTGTACTATGTAGTTGTAGTGTAATAAAAGTATACCATCTGTACTATGTAGTCGTAGTGTAATAAAAGTATACCATCTGTACTGTAGTCGTAGTGTAATAAAAGTATACCATCTGTACTATGTAGTTGTAATGTAATAAAAGTATACCATTTGTACAATGTAGTTGTAGTGTAATAAAAGTATACCATCTGTATATGTAGTTGTAGTGTAATAAAAGTATACCATTTGTACTATGTAGTCGTAGTGTAATAAAAGTATACCATTTGTACTGTAGTCGTAGTGTAATAAAAGTATACCATCTGTACTATGTAGTTGTAATGTAATAAAAGTATACCATTTGTTCTGTAGTCATAGTGTAATAAAAGTATACCATTTGTACTATGTAGTTGTAATGTAATAAAAGTATACCATCTGTACTATGTAGTTGTAGTGTAATAAAAGTATACCATTTGTACAATGTAGTCGTGATGTAATAAAAGTATACCATTTGTACAATGTAGTCGTATTGTAATAAAAGTATACCATTTGTACAATGTAGTCGTAATGTAATAAAAGTATATCATTTGTACAATGTAGTCGTAGTGTAATAAAAGTATACCATTTGTACTATGTAGTCGTAGTGTAATAAAAGTATACCATTTGTACTATGTAGTCGTAGTGTAATAAAAGTATACCATTTGTACTATGTAGTTGTAGTGTAATAAAAGTATACCATTTGTACTGTAGTCGTAATGTAATAAAAGTACACCATTTGTACTATGTAGTTGTAGTGTAATAAAAGTATACCATTCGTACAATGTAGTTGTAATGTAATAAAAGTATACCATCTGTACTATGTAGTTGTAATGTAATAAAAGTATACAATTTGTACCATGCAGATGTAGTGTAATAAAAGTATATTAAGGAGGGATGTCCAGTATGAAGATTTATATCACATATGTAAAGCATCCTCTTCTAAATCCTATGCTTTTAATAGCTAACTTGTTGATTTGTATATATTATTTATTTACCATAGTTAGCTCAGTTTAAATTCAAGAATGTTTGTTATTGTTTTGTGTTATTTGTAATATTATCTGAACTTTCTAGACATGTATTAACTGAAAACTGTCTTCCAATTTAGTTTCAACTGCATTATCAAACTTTCAAACAAAGCTGTAATAATGAAATATTGAACCAATAAAGAAACTTTTAGGTCATTTCACTATTACAGAAACTGTTGATAACCTAAAAGTTTCTCAATATTTTGTTATTACAGCTTTGTTAGAGGCTATTGATAACCTGAAAGTCTCTTTATTTCTCAACATTTCACTATTACAGAAACTGTTGATACTGAGCTAATAAAGATATATTCTAGCCTGTAGTACTGAACATGTTCAGGACAGTGAGTACTGATCTATTACGACTGTAAGTTCGTGCTGATTTAAATATTGATCCCAAAAGTTTCTTACCTATTATCTTTATTGATTTGATCTCCATACCCCACAGTCTCAACAATGGTCAGCTTCAAATCAACATTGCTTTCAAGAAGTTCTAAAAAACAAGACTGTTTTCTTTGGTTTATGTAATTGGTGTAAGAGACATCTTTTCACCACCAAAATATTTAGTTTTTTTGTTAACACATAAGTAAGAACTTTAAAGTATGGCACTACCCATTTAAACAGATTACAGAATCAAAAAACAGATGCTGTTTTATTATTAGAAAATGAAAAATAATTACAAAAAAAAAGGAAATCCAGAGTACCCTTTTAAGGTTTAATTTATTATACAAATAATACAAGCAATTAAATCTTATATCTTACACAAGTGAACATTATTAAGGAATGCTGTGATTTTCCTATTATTATAATTGCTACAAAATGACTGTATAGTGTTCTAAATTACAAACGTTCTTGTTACAAAGAAGATTAAATGATCATATAACAAAACATTATCTGTACAAAACATTTCCATATATAATTGTATTTTTTTCCTCTCAAAAATCACTTAATATTTTTATTTCAAAAGGATAAAATAACATGATACTTAAAAAACCACAAAGTGGTTAGCAATATTAACATGTTAAAAAACATCATTCAGACTTACCATATGTCTTTGATTTCAATCGAACATTTGGGAAAGAGTGTGTACTATTTTGCTGAGAATCAAATGTGGTGTTGAACAGAGAATCCATCATTGTAGACTTTCCTAAACCAGTCTCTCCTAGGGAAAAACCATGCACAAGTCTGTAAGAAACTTAGATCAGAAGTATTTATAACCTGACCTTATTAGGAAAAATTAGTCAAGATACTTATATTTACAAACAAAATATTTCATAATGAGCTACATGATTTTTTTCAGAGTTTTCTCTAGTCAGGACTGTGACAAGTCTGCTTGAATTGGTGTAGAAACATGTAACGTGACAAAAGTATTTGAATTGGTGTAAAAACATTTAATGTTTGTTTGAATATTCTATGTTTAATTTTTACAATATTAATAGAATATCTTAATAGAATCAGCTCTTCTCAGCAACTTAGTATTATTAATGAGGGGGGGAGGAAAGATTTAGCCATGACTGTTGTTAAAAACATTATTTAATTTACTAAGTGTCTGATGTAGTAAATAATCAAAAGAGTTCCGAGTTTTTATTATAGCAATTTTGAAATTACAAGCAAGAAAACTCATATAAGGCTTTTTTTTGCACAGTTTGGATTACCTTACTACAGGAGGTAAAACACTGGGAAGAGTGCAGACACAAATTATTATAGAGACACCTGAGTTAAGCAGTTTAAGCTATAAGAATATGCTTCAGGTGAGATGTCAACAGGTTGGAAAGAGTGCAGACACAAATTATTATAGTGACACCTGGGTTAAGCAGTTTAAGCTATAAGAATATGCTTCAGAGGGATGTCAACAGGTTGGAAAGAGTGGAAACACAAGCTATTATAGTGACACCTGGACTAAGTGATTTATGCTATAAGAATATGCTTCAGAGGGATGTCAACAGGTTGGAAAGAGTGGAAACACAAGCTATTATAGTGACACCTGGGTTAAGCAGTTTAAGCTACAAGGTTATGCTTCAGAGGGATGTCAACAGGTTGGAAAGAGTGGAAACACAAGCTATTATAGTGACACCTGGGTTAAGTGGTTTATGCTACAAGGGAAAGCTTCAGGAGAGATGTCAACAGGTTAAAAACAATGGAGACATAAGCTATTATAGTGAAACCTGGGTTAACCAGTTTAAGCTTAGAAGGATATTTTTTAAGAATGATATCAACATGCTGGGGATAGAAAGGTTATCTTATTGGGATAGGATAAGAGATCATTTTTTGAATATACAAAAATATACAGGAAATTGATAGGATAAACACTCCTGATTTCTTTGTGCTACATTCTGAAGATAACAGAAGACACAAGTTTAAGATTTGGAAAAGACAGCCTATGCTCTGATTAAGACAAGTTTATTTTTTTATAACATAACATAATATTTTGGGACCTATTGGTCCATCTCGGCTGTTCCATCCTCAAAACTAAATTAAAATGATTAAAAAAAATAAAATAAAAAAATTTAAACCCAGCCTTTTTCATTCATATACTTATCAAGCTTTTTCTTCAACTCACTTAAATTTACTGTCTCTACAACCTCTGAAGGCAACCCATTCCAAAGGCCAACCACCCTGTTAGAAAAATAAAACTGTCTTAGCTGAAGATGACTCTTACCTTGGAAAAACTTATTCTTATGCCCCCTAGTCCTACTATTCTCACTATTAAGTATGAAAAAAGATACATCAACACTATCAATTCCCTTTACAATCTTAAATGCCTCAATCTGATCCCCCCCTAACTCTTCTTTTTTTGAAGAGAAAACGATTTGAGATATTTCAGCCTCTCCTCGTATGACAACCCTTACATCCCAGGCACCATTCTAGTAACCCTCCTCTGAACCGTTTCCAACAATTCAATGTCCTTTCTAAGATAAGGAGCCCAAGACTGAACACAATATTCCAAATGTGGCCTAACCAGTGACCTGTACAATGAATGTATAACCTCTTTAGATTTGTATTCAATATTTCTGT